TAGTTTGCCCCAGTCATGAGTCCAGACAGGAGGGATTCCCCGATCATTCCTGACAGTTTCTCATAAAGGGTGTCACCCCTTTCCAAAAGTCCCTACCGACACCCTGCCTGTATAAGGCTGTGTATATTTTGGCATCCACTGTTCCATTCACCAGAGAAGATTATTGACTTGTATCCCATCCCCATCAAGTACTTTGATTTCCCACACATGTACTTTCTTTTTGAGCCACTCAAGGCGTTTCCGACAATTGCAGGCAGTATAAACAAATATGAATAGGGGGGGGGGGTTCACTTACTATATATAGGCTACAGTGGGCATAACGGGAATCTTGCAAAGTTGATTGTGACTTATTAAGGGAAAAAGGCGTAGGCTGGTGTGTGCACTGTTTCATAAATCAGAATATTAATTTATTAATACTTGTGTAATTTTGAGGGAGGTTGTTAAAAATCACAAAACTCTCCTCCATACCTGCATCACCACCTCAACTGTCAATCAAGTATAGACCACACCCCTACCCTAGCTAATAAATCTCCGCCCTTCAGGCCGGTCACTCCCTTCTTTCCCTCTCAATACTGCAAGCAGAACAAAGCAAGTGAGTTTGCGTATGAACTTTTCACTTCTGTACATTACCCAATCGACATTTTTTATTTAGATGTTAACAGATTAAATTGTATTTGTTATGCTAGATCCATATTGATTTATCCCATGTTGTGAGGAAAAGGTAGACACCTAACACTGTTAATGCATTAATGTTAAGTCATATTTAAGACTAATTTTCCTAAAGGTCCTAAAGTGGTAGTGAGCTGTAGGTCCTATCTGTTCTATAGCTTACAGGCAGCAAGTCGAGAGACAGGATTGAACTGTGAATTAAAACGCTGGTGCCCATGCATATAATAAGGAAAGAAACATGTATTAGTAAGTGATGGAGGGCTGAGATTGTATTGCACAGAATTGCATATGAAAATATCTTTAAGGTGTACAGCAACAAACAAAGCATTGTGTGAGGCCTGCATCCTTGTTATGCTGTTTGACATGCAAAGCCTTTCTTGATTAAATGCTCTGTTAGTAGACTTAGTGGTTATTAAACCCTCAGAGCACCTAAAACAAACAGAGTAAACATTGTAAACAGTGTAACAGTGTGCTCTGTACTGTGACAATTAAATATATCCTAATCCCTGTGGAACATGCTAACATACGCCATCATTTCGTTGGCTAATCTGCTTTAGGACAGACTCAGCACAAAGTGTGTTGATGGCAACAAAGGATGCAGCCTGACAGGAAGTGCTGCTCAGAGCCTAGCATGACTGTTTGCACTTAGGCCCATTCCCAAACCGCCCCCTACACCCTACCCCTCCGTTTGCGCGTTCACGCGGAGGGTCCGCCATATCAAGGGCTGTTCCAAACCAACGAGTGTGGAGCGGTATGGAGGGGGAGTGGGCTATCAAGCCCTCAAACAGCGAGTCTGCAGCGATGTTGACTTGAGACTGGTCTTTACCTGACCGGAGTCACGCTGTGTGTGTCCGTCAGGAAACACGCTGTTTACAAGTAGTTCCAGCAAACATCCACTGATAAACTGCGATGTTAACAACCTCATGATAACCTCATATGTTTTTAACTTAGGATCGTACCTGTGTTTAGTCTAGAAAAAGGTAAATGTGTGCATTTTATTATAAAATTGTGTATATTTACAGACTGTTGCAAAAACTAAGAAGCTTATAAACATCAGGTTTAAAACTAAAAGAGCTTTACAAAAAAGTAACACAATTAAAGATGTTTGGAGTTTTATTTTAGTTATTAATTTAAATGTTTTGTCTATGCTGATTTGAAACCGTTGTTACATACAGTTACGGCATTTCCTGTTTCTGCCGTAGAGAGGGGAGGCCGTCCCAAAGCTTGCTGCTGTATTCACTCCCTCCATCTGACAGGAGGGAGCCTCGTTGAGCTGCGAGTGTGGCTACAGACGGAGTTCACTCCGTCACGGAGGCGTAGGGTCGAGGGAGTGGTTTGGGATTGGGCCTTACAAACAGGAAAGGGTATTTTCTATCTTTGTTTAGAGTGAAAGAATGGTATAATGGACGCCAGAGGTGAGAAGTAACTACGTTCACAAGCGACCCTGCAGTATACAAAGTCATTCAAACTAGCTGCACCTTTACCAGCTTTGAGAACACTTTAATGATCAATCATTATAAAACATATCATATATATTATTCTGAAATGGACCAATCTGCACAATGACTACTTTTACTGTCGCTACTTTAACTATATTTTGATGAGAATTAGGCATGCTCCGATCGATCGGTCACCGATCGAGATCGGCCGATACTCACTCTCTACCGATCGATCGGTGCTCTCTAAACATGCCGATCGCGAGAGCCGATCGCATGACGTAAAATACATGATACTTTTCTCTGTGTGCGGCAAAACAAGCTCGCCAAAATGGCTTCACCAGTCTGGCATTATTTTAAGGTGTCCGAAAAAGACAGTAAAATAGCGGTATGCAACGTGTGTGAAGCAGAAATCCTGCAGCTCCGCCCGCCGGACCGGTGAGCGGAGCGAAACACACAAGAGTTGGACCTAACACACTTTATCTACCTCTGGAACAAGCTAAACTAGTTATTATACATATATGTATTCTTCACTGTCGGGTCACTCATTACTGGATCAGTGAGCTGCATGAGATACTGACAGGCTGTCAGGAGAGAGAGAGGGGGGGAGAGAGAGAGGGAGAGAGGAAAAGAGAGCGCTTCCGCTCATTTCTCCCGTGTTATTATCCAAAGTGAATGTAAACTTGAATAATGTACATCATTTGAATGTAATAATTAAGTTGATTGTTGTTTGTGGAAGCTCCAGTGAATGAGCCCCATTAACTGAGTGTTAAACATCACTTTAAATGGAAGATTTAAATCTTCCATTTAGGCCCCGCCCACTCGATCGGATCGGCGATTGGTATCGGCCGATACTGATTCCGGCAATCGGCCCCGAAATTGGCGATCGGAGCATCCCTAATGAGAATACTTTAGTACTTTTATTTTAAACATTTTGATAGCAGAAATGTACTTGTAACAGAGTATTCCTAATCTCTGGTACTTCGACTTTTACTGAAGTACAAGATCTGAGTACTTCTCCCACTTCTGCTCATAGTAAAGTGTAAAAAGGATTCAGTGTAACATAAACTGTTAAATTACAGTCTGAGTATTTCTACCACCTCTGATAGAACCTCTAAATGAGGTGTAGTTTAGGTTGACCAGCCAACAGGAGTTAGTAACATATTCAAAATGTTCCTTCCACTCTCGATCTACACTGAACAAAAATATAAATGCAACACTTTTGTTTTTGCTCCCATTTTTCATGAGATGAACTCAAAGATCTAAAACATTTTCTATATACACAAAATAACCATTTCTCTCAAATATTGTTCACAAATCTGAAAAAATCTGTGATAGTGAGCACTTCTCCTTTGCCGAGATAATCCATCCCACCTCACAGGTGTGGCATATCAAGATGCTGATTAGACAGCATGATTATTGCACAGGTGTGCCTTAGGCTGGCCACAATAAAAGGCCACTCTGAAACGTGCAGTTTTGCTTTATTGGGAGGGTCTGGGGGGGTCCGAAAACCAGTCAGTATCTGGTGTGACCACCATTTGCCTCACGCAGTGCAACACATCTCCTTCGCATAGAGTTGATCAGGTTGTTGATTGTGGCCTGTGGAATGTTGGTCCACTCCTCTTCAATGGCTGTGCGAAGTTGCTGGATATTGGCAGGAACTGGAACACGCTGTCGTATACGCCGATCCAGAGCATCCCAAACATGCTCAATGGGTGACATGTCCGGTGAGTATGCTGGCCATGCAAGAACTGGGATGTTTTCAGCCTCCAGGAATTGTGTACAGATCCTTGCAACATGGGGCCGTGCATTATCATGCTGCAACATGAGGTGATGGTCGTGGATGAATGGCACAACAATGGGCCTCAGGATCTCGTCACGGTATCTCTGTGCATTCACAATGCCATAAATAAAATGCACCTGTGTTCGTCGTCCATAACATACGCCTGCCCATACCATACACCTGTCCATACCATACACCTGTCCATACCATAACCCCACCACCACCATGGGCCACTCGATTCACAACATTGACATCAGAAAACCGCTCACCCACACGACGCCACACACGCTGTCTGCCATCTGCCCTGAACAGTGAAAACCGGGATTCATCCGTGAAGAGAACACTTCTCCAACGTGCCAGACGCCATCGAATGTGAGCATTTGCCCACTCAAGTCGGTGACGACGACAAACCGGAGTCAGGTCGAGACCCCGATGAGGACGACGAGCATGCAGATGAGCTTCCCTGAGACGGTTTCTGACAGTTTGTGCAGAAATTCTTTGGTTATGCAAACCGATTGTTGCAGCTGCTGTCCGAGTGGCTGGTCTCAGACGATCTTGGAGGTGAACATGCTGGATGTGGAGGTCCTGGGCTGGTGTGGTTACACGTGGTCTGCGGTTGTGAGGCCGGTTGGATGTACTGCCAAATTCTCTGAAACGCCTTTGGAGACGGCTTATGGTAGAGAAATGAACATTCAATTCACGGGCAACAGCTCTGGTGGACATTCCTGCTGTCAGCATGCCAATTGCACGCTCCCTCAAAACTTGCGACATCTGTGGCATTGTGCTGTGTGATAAAACTGAACATTTTAGAGTGGCCTTTTATTGTGGCCAGCCTAAGGCACACCTGTGCAATAATCATGCTGTCTAATCAGCATCTTGATATGCCACACCTGTGAGGTGGGATGGATTATCTCGGCAAAGGAGAAGTGCTCACTATCATAGATTTTTTCAGATTTGTGAACAATATTTGAGAGAAATGGTTATTTTGTGTATATAGAACATGTTTTAGATCTTTGAGTTCATCTCATGTAAAATGGGAGCAAAAACAAAAGTGTTGCATTTATATTTTTGTTCAGTGTAGTTAACCAATCCTTAGGAAAGATAGTGATGAAGTAGATTCAATTATATTAAAGATACAAACACGGGTACACGTTGTGTGTTACCTTATGATGCGTAGAGGTGCGTAGCCCCCCCACAGACAGCCGAGGACTGGAGGAGTCATCAGAAGACTCAGAGGAGTTGGACCACGCTGTTCCGTTCTCCATGTCCTCATGACGCCGCAGCATGTTCTGGAAGAGAGCAGCAGTGTAAGAGGGAAGGCTGATGGGATACTGAGAAGGAGCAGATATATCCACATATTCCCTTTTATTCTTGTATTTTTTATGTTATTTGATTGTCTTTACTTTTTAATGACTGTTATTAAATACCATTTTATAATGTGTTACCGCAGCACTATTTTTTAAGGCTCTTAATGTCTTTCATTTTTTAAAAGCATTTGAATTGCCTTGTGTTGAAAGGTGCTATATAACTAAACTTGCCTTGCCTTGTCTTGCTCCCTGAGCCTCTGTGTGTGAAAGTAAAAAGGTGATTGCTGACTTTATTAAATGCACTTTGAGAAGTTGCTAAGAAGTGCTATATAAATGCAGTCCATTTACCATTTGTATTTCAGAGAAATCCATTAACCTGGAAACCTCAATTGTTTTCCATTATTAAAAATCCTGGAGACTACTTGACGAAAAAGCCTTTCTTCCACCCTGGATCGAGGCCATGAGCTTCAGCAGACTGATTCACTGATCACAGAACAAACTGCTTCACACATCTCACACACTGTCTGCCCCCCCTGATCATTCTCACTGAGTATCACTCTGGGTTCTTCCACTTTGCTGATCAGTCACACTTCACATGCTGTAAACAGATCAACTGATGTGTTGGTTTAATTGGAGGGTGTTTCAGATTAAACAATCTGGCAAATACACACTCATTAATTATCTTCGGTTCAGTTTCCACTCTGCTTTGTCCCGTCTACTCTGCTCCACTGACCACATTTTGTAGAAAACTGAGTACCCTGAACAAGAACAACCAACAGAGAAACTGATATGCAAACAAGCTGAGTGGACACACTCCCAAGTGTGTGTGAGTTTCAGAAAGTGTAAATCACACTGAACTGAATATAAACAGAGCAATGTGCTAAATGAAATGACCTGTTTTAAAGCTGCTCTATTGGGAATGTAAGGATTCTTTTTCAGTCATCAGTATTGAGTATAAAGTAATATTTAGCAGACTACATTGTTGTAATGGATGGCAGAAGTGTATAATTCAAACCAAATGCAGAAACAGAAATTCAACAACGTATGAAACAATAAGTGTGACCCGCACCAATCCAGAAAAATGACGACATTTTCCACCTGGTGTTGTGCTGTTTATCAGTCATAATTATCCTATTGTTGTCACAATGCCTCAGCGTTCTTCAAACTAAATGTACGTTGGATTGTTTAACGCAAACACATTTCACAATGATCAAATACATTGTTTTTTTTTATTGTGACAATCCTGTTATCTCACTGCTGGTTTTTCTACAGACTGTTTCTCAGATCTCAGCAGTAACTAGGAGAGTACAGTTTATTATCAACATGATCTATCCTTCACAACTACTGCCACAATATGTTTCTCTATATTATTTGCAGTCTTGCAGGTTTTACAGTGTCATAACTCACAATAACTTTCAGAACACTGTCATCCTGCTAAACTGCCTTCAGGACATCCGCAAGTGGAACATTTCCTGCAGCTTAATGCTGATAGGACAGAAATAATGATTACATGGCAAGATGATAGTTCAGTCACCAACATAACAAACAGTCTTGGTTCTCTGTCCAAAACCCAGTATTGCAGTCATATTTTCTAAACTGTAATCCATAATTTCATCCCCACCTCCAGCCGGTCCAACACTCTGCTGTTAGGATTTTAACTCAGACTAGGAAATATGACGACATCACAGAGATTCTGGCTTCCTCACACTGGCAACCTGTTGCTTTTAGAACCAATTTAATTTCAAACCTTTATTTAATCAGGTGAATCCCATTGAGATCATCGATCTCTTTTTCAAGGGAGACCTGCTCAAGTAGCTGCAAATCTTAGGATTTTTGTATTAGTTACAAAGCCCTGTAACTAGGCCTCTCCCTGAGTTATTTGTCAGACCTCTTACTGTTCTATGTCCCTTCTGCAACCTAAGATACTCAGATGTGTCGCTACTGGTCGTTCCAAATTCCTATATATAGGTACTATATAAATAAATATATAGCTTTTTGGAGTTGACCCTTTCCTGTAGTGTGTTATATAGGTTTTAGTGCACGTAAATGGTCTGCAAAGGCTAAAATGCCTGTGTTCCCTTTTCTCCCACACTCTTCCCCCCCCCCCCCCCCTCCTGCCTGAAACGCCTCCATTGGAATCCTTTGTTTAATTCAAGAACATAGTGACATCACATGTGCTTCTATTGGCTAGCGCTCCAACACATTGTACGTGATAAGCTAGAGGCAGGACATCTCTAAGCGGTTGACCAATCAAAACAGAGCCGGCCAGCTAACCAATCAGAGCAGACTGGGCTCTGGTTTCAGACAGAGGGTGAAAAGAGGTGCTGCAGCACAGGCAGTATGAGAAAAATAAAGAGCTTTTTGAACACTAAAGCATGAAGACATGTCACAGTAGAGACAATACATACTGATATGAAGCTGAAGATGAGTAGAATCTGAACTTGTTAAATATACAGAATTATAGGCTCAAGATTCTTAAAGGTTCCTCATTACGAGTTCATACCAGGGGGGCCTAATGTATGGTCTAGTTGTGTTGGGAGGTTCTAAATGACCTAAAGGCATTCATTAAAGCTCGGCTCTGTGTGTGTGTGTGGGAACGAGCCATTTTGAGAGAGCGCACCTGTACCGGAGATCGTAGTTGTTAGCTTCTGGTGCTAGCGAGCTACGCTAACGGATATAAGGAGTTTTTTCAACAACAAGGGGAGGAGAGTCCTCTCCTGTCAGACTGAGAGTCTCAGTGAGCTAAAGGACTCTCTGAGTGTTTAGATAGTTAACTTTAGTCTAAGTTATCTCAGTGGGTCTCAAACGTTTTGGTCACCATTAATGTAAACAATTATTTCCGAGGCACACGTTTATATGATCATTATAGTTGTAAAAAAACAAGAGAATAAATGAAAAATAGGTATGAAATACTATATGACAGTAAAACAAGAATAAAGTTTAAAAGGGTGATTTGTAAAATATCCATAAAGAAAAAGTAAATCTCTTTACAGTTCTGTTTCAAATGGGTGTTGAGAGATGTATCCATAGATCTCTTCATTTTGCTCTCAAAGTGCACCAGATTGATGCTTTTAACTTCAATATTTAAAAATAAATCTTCCCAGGGGAGCTTGCCCCCAGACCCTCCTATGTGAGGTACACACACCACCTATAAAAATAGCACTTTACCCCTGCTTACACCTATATGCCTCGAGCCTTCATTGTAACTGTCACACTGTGTATTTGCATGTGGGGATTGTTGCAGTAGAACATTCCACTGTAGCGACCGGCACATTAATCGGAAACCCTAAATGTTTGAGCACCCTCTATGAAACGTCAAGCTACCCCACAGCACCCCAAAATAAATATCTGGCACCGCCACTGAGCCTAACAATTTGTGTTGGGGGGCCCAACTTTTTTTTTTCTCCAAAGGGGGTGCCTGACAGAAAAAGTTTGAGAACCACTGCTCTAACTCCTGCTCTCAAATGGAAGCTGACACTCAGTGAAATCAGCTGTTTGGAAACTGTGCAAACATACCGCATGGCTCCACGAAGCTACATTCAACACATGGAGACTACTGTTACAGGTTTCTAATGTTCTACACCACTGTCTCTAGTCACTACACCAGTGGCTCCTACATGGTTGGGGGGTTCCAATCATCAGGACTTACTGCACTTGGTCCTGTAGGTGAGCTGTCATTACAAGGACAGCTGTGGCTAAGAGTGTCTCTGAAGATCTCCATCAGCGGCCAGTGCTGCCGCCGGCTCAGACTGCGGGGCAGAGACTGTGGGTCCACAGCAGGAGGACAGAGGGCAGCAGCAGTTTACACTTTCATTCTAAACCATGATATTTCAACTGTTCCCTTTTCAGCCAATTCCAGACATGTAATGAATCTAAATCCTTTTTTGCTTGGATTTTCAATTAAGTTTCCTAGGACGATCCCAGATGGCTGCCTCTTTGTTGTATTTAAGGGTTAATTGTTGTATGGTTATTGTACCTACTTATTTGTATATTTCTTATAAACTTTTTTTCTTTGCAATTTAAATTTAAATTAAAAATGTTGTAATGGTTCTATTTTTGCTCTTCTTTATTTAACAATGATTCCTGTAGTTAAATTCCTCTCACTGTGTGATACATGCAAACCTACTTGGCAATAAAACTAATTCTGATTCAGAATGTATATGAAATCTACAAACACTCGGCTAAAAGGCCAGAAACATACTAAATGAAGAGTCTATGATCATCCCTCAGTTGTCTGCACCTCTTGCATTTAGGTGTTTCATTCAATGACTAAATACAAAAACAGTGAATATCACACAAAATACCAGCAACTTTAAGCTTATACTCCAGAGTTACTATCTAATAAGCATAGTTAAAATGTTACTGTGGAAAGAAGAAGGTTCAAAGAGAGGCCACCAGAATAGAGAAGGGCTTACATAGAAGGCCTGTTCTCGTAGAGAGGGTGTGTCCGGCGGGCTCTGGTTGAAGATGGTGGAGAGTCTCTTACTGATGGTGGGAGCTTTGGTGATGGTGCTGGCCACTGACCCCATGTCATCTTTATCAAATGGACTGAAAGAGCGGGAACAAATAAGTGAGGAAGGGGAATCACAACATAACATTTCATATTATATTAAAGCAATAGAGTGGTGCAGCGAGGATGTATTTCTGTTGGCCAACATGGACGTTAGCATGGCATGACGAAAAAACAATGGGATTATTCCATTGGATTTTTGTAAAAAATAAGATCTGTCAAAAATATGTTTGGGATACTTACATGTTTTGTTCAACAGGATTATCTCCATATATATATATATATATATATACACTATAACACATTTTTACATCAGTTGAAACCTAAATGCTATTGCCCGAAGTAAAAGGGTAAGGTAAGGCTATGAGCTAACTACATCACTGTTGCATAAATTCATGTAACCACCGCTAAGCTAAAGGCAGCTCATGTTTGACATGATGACATTTAGCATTTAGCCCCTTGTTTGTTTATTTTTATGAGACAAATAAGCCTCTAAGGGTGTTGTTACCACACGCCTTTTGTAAGACATTTGACCAAATGTGTGGGATACAAGGCTAAACTGCTATGTCATCTCCGAGTTGTATGACTCAATTATGCATCACTATGTTTATTTAATAAATAACTCTTGGACAAAAAGTAGAGTACTCGTTAAGCTCATTATAATATTCAGTTTACAGCAGCATGTTTAGGAAAACTCACTTCCAGGTGACTTCCAGGCTCAGCTTAATAGTCCCAAGATCATTAATATCCACGGCAACCGTCTGGGGGAGTGCAGCAAACAGGTCCTTTGTCTCGCAGGAAACACTTCCTACAACCACGTGATTGGCTAAGCTCTTCAGCTCTGTCACCTAGGAGACCACAGATATATAGCCATGTCAATCATACACTGTTGGCGTCAGAGAAATTAAAGCAAGACAGAAAGTGAAAGATAGGACTGACTCACCGGTAAAAAAATAACACAACGTCACTAACAGAACCAGGAACAGACCAGAAGTCTCACATTAAACTATTGGACTTGACTGACCTTCACAGAGAGGAAGTCGCTGACGAGCGGCAGGAACACCATGTCCTCGCTGTCCCACACCTGTCTGCCGTTCAGCTCGATCCTGCCTCGGAGCTTCCACCGCTGCCGACCGTACCTCATAAAGATCTGAGAACGAACACACACACACACACACACACACACACACACACACACACACACACACCAAACACACACACACACACACAACACACACACACACACACACACACACACACACACACACACACACACACACACACACACAACACACTACACACACACACACACACACACACACACACACACCACACACACACACACACACACACAACACACACACACACACACACACACACACACACACACACACACACCAGTCTTACTTCACACATGAGCCATGTGTATACTTTTGTGCTCACAGTCCTCATAATTGTTTTACTTTTGAGGATGTTTTAATTGATTGATTTAATATTTTCATTGAGCATTCACTATGAATGTACATACATTAGGTGGTAGATAACACAGAGAGAGATACTCCCTCAAACTGACAAAACGACAACATATACATGTATTTTTAAAATAGTGTGTTCCCAATATTTAAACTATATTACATTTTATGTTCTCAAAATGAATCATACGCACGCACTCTGTTTTCCTCTTTGTCTTTTTTTCCGTAAAAATATATTTCACTGTATCGTATAATGTTTTCAGTATACAGTACTTTGGCAATATTGCATGTGATCATGGTCATTTATAATTAGACAGCCAGACAGACAGACTAACCTCATACTGGTCTCCAGCACATAATCTAGCGAATCCAGCCAGCCCTGAAAGACAGACAGAAAGAGATGCAAATCCTTTAGGAAGTTTGAACTAAATGTAAGTATTTAGAAGCTGCTGAATTAGTTCTCCCTATGGCAGCCATGCTTCTTCAGTTATCGTAGAACAACTGCTAAAAAGATCCTACATGTTTCAGCTGTAGTGTCCAATAGGTTCCTCTTTATGTATTTTAATATTGTTACAGAAAAGACAAAATAACAGATTGATGATCTGAGCGTTTGTTCACTTTTCAATTTTACAGAGTAGCTGCAACTCAACTATAACAGCGAAATGATTAGGTGTAACCATAATCTTTTTCCCAAAAATGTGAGTCCAAAGATGCTGCATGCCAAATGTGGAGATTAAACGGCTTGTCAATAATTCATGAAAAAATAGTTCTATCAAAACATCTTTTTTGTATTACGCCAGCCTCTCATCACCAGTGTGTTGTGGAGGGTGAACTCTTTCTCCAGAGTTGAGTGATATTTGTTGAGACACAGGTAAGTCAAGGTAAACAGTAGTTCAAGAAGAGGATGGATAAAGGAGGGAAGAAAACACGGAGGATGAGATTAAGGTTGGAAGAAAGCACAGATGGCTTCATTCTCACCTTTCATCTTAATGTGGAACTCCCCCAGATGGTTCTCCAAGTCGTTCTCCAACAAGCACATGTTCTACGGAGAGAAAATATTTATTTTACCAAACAGAAATGAATTACAGAGCTGCAGTTTATAAATGATCCACATTAGTTAAGCTTTTTTTATACTTTAATGTATTCCTTTACTAGTTGGTGGTGCAGTGATTATTTTATTTAACGGTGGCTCCCTCAACGAAATACAATGGGTCTTTTCAATTCAATTTCAAATAGTTCAGAAAATAAGATTTTTTTCAGCACGATAATAACACCTATTTTATAATTGTTTAAGCGTGAATACAATCTCCAGAAGTAAAAAGCTAACGTTAGGCTATAAACAAACCGCGTTTGACTTCATGTCAACACTGCTAAGCTAAAGGCAGCTAACGTTGCTAAAGTATGCTGAATTAGTCACTTGTTGGCAACCGCCGTTTTTATGACACATATAAGTTTCAGACATGTTGGGTATTTAGCAGAGGTGGGAGTAAGTCATACATGTGCAAGTCATGAGCAAGTCTCAAGTCTTAACCTACAAGTCTCAAGCAAGTCCCAAGTCACTGTGGTGAGAGTCAAGCAAGTCATAAGTCAAGTCATACGAAATTCTGATGAATAACCCCAGTTTCCGCATTTAAATCAGTTAAAATATTGTGGTTATAAAAAGTTTTAGTTTTATTTTCAACATAAACAACAATGGAGAGTGGGGCGCTGAAATTATTCACCCTATAAATTCTAAAAGGGCTCTAAAGTGATAACAGGATATTCTACCATGTTAGCCTCCTCCTGCCCTGGCTCTCCCCTTCAGCCGGGTCACCAGCATTTCTCCATGGTCTGTCTAAGGTGCTCCCAGATGGACACTGTCCCATTGTTTTTCCTTACTGTGTCTGTGCACAAAGAAATATTGCATCATAAGCAAATACAACGAATAGTGTGCACTGCACACACACAACCAACACACCCACGCACACACACACACACACACACACCACAAACACCCACATAAGGTCACACACAATCACACATACACACATACACACACACAATCACAACACACACACACACACACACACACACAACACACACACCAACAAACACACACACCACCACACACGCACACACACACACACACACACACACACACACACACACACACACACACACACACACACACACACCTCACCACCACACACACACACACACAAACCACACCACCCACACACACACAGAGAGCTCAGCAGAGCACAACAACAACACACATCATGGCGCCTTAGTGACCGGACCATTTCCTTCATAAAACGAGTAAATAGGAGATTAATCGGGCAGTTCGATGTGTGTAGAAGTGTGTGTGGTTAAAACACAGCAGCCTGTGGTAGCTCTTCAGCTGTTCTAACGAAAGTAAAGCCAGTGAAGGCGTTGCGAAAGGCACAGCTCTTTGAGCGCTGGTGCTGCACTTCTCAGATACCTCATTCACACCAACGGTGTTTCAGGGCCGGTTCGGAGCTGGAGCTTGAAAAGCACCGGGTTTTCCTCTTCACACGGCAGCGGAGCAGCCTCTTATACCTCATTCACACCAACGGTGTTTCAGGGCCGGTTCGGGGCTGGAGCTTGAAAAGCACCGGGTTTTCCTCTTCACACGGCAGCGGAGCAGCCTCTTAGCTCCGGAATCCGGTTCGTTTCAAGCACCAAAAAATGGTCCGGCCAGAGCAAAAGCACCGCTTACGGCGAGGCGGGGGAAGGGGCGGGATCAACTCCTGAACAACAACAAAAAGCCGGCGTTGTATCCAGTTTGTACACAACGATGGAGAAACTTAACAAGCAGCAGTGGTCCACTGACGAGACCAGCTACCTACTGGGAATCTGGTCTTCCGAAGAGGTACAGAGGAAGCTGGAGCACAATCGGCCATTGTTGTTGTTGTCAGTGTCAGCTGTGAGGGGTTTCCGCGCGGTTTGGCTTTATGAAGCAGGCACGCAAACGGTTACGTCATGACGCAAACGATGACGCAATGACGCAGCACCAGTCGGACTCTGGGCAGTGTGAAAAGAGCCGGAGCTAAACCGAAGAACCGGTTCTGAACCTGAAAAGCTCTAGCACGGAGCTTGAACCGGAGTTGCGTTGGTGTGAATGAGGTAAGAGGCGGAGTTACACGTCCCGCTGCCTCCTGGTGCTGTAGCGATTTCATGAAGTGAATGAGAGTCCGAGTTCGAAGTATATCCAAAATAATGTATGCACTGCCATTTCCCAACATAAACATTACAGTCTGCAATGAAACGGTTGTCTCCTGTGTGCTCCACTTCCTACTTGGTGCTCCGGTAACTCTCTCGTGCAGGGGCGGTTCTAACACTGACCTCTGACCCCCCTGTGGCCCCCCTAAAAATGAAAAGTGAAAAAAATGAAAAATGTATGATTTATTACACGATTTATTGAATGACGGAATAGGCGGAACTAACGTTATTGGTCATTCTAGTCGGACCCATTAGAGCAGTGCATTCAGGACCCATTAGAGCGGTGCACTCACTTTCACTGTCCGGCTGAAGCGCGCGAAAAACAAACACTTTTCATCTCGGATCATCAGAGGCTGTTGCATCCAAGAAAGACTGATTGAAACCTACGTTTCGAGAGACTACCACGATAATTGAAGGTGAGTTAAACTATTGTATCCGTGTAATTGTTACAAGGTAAGACTTTAGGTCAGTAAGTGTTGTTGTTGACTAACGTTAGTTAACGTGGTGTGCAAAGTAATCAGCGACAGCAAACAGTTTGCTTTCATCATCTGTCACCTGTCAGCGCCTTAAATGATGCCGTTTAAAATGTCAGTCTCGTGCGAACGAGATACAGTATCTTTTTTTTTTTCATTGCCCTTTAGGGGCTCCGTACAATACAAAAACAAATGCAAATATTTAATTTTAAAAAGTAAAGTCCTTTTGAGTCATTTGTCTCAAGTCAAGTCTCATGTCATGAATACCAAGTCAAAGTCAAGTCAAGTCTTTTATCAATGTTAGTCGAGCAAGTCTCAAGTCCAAAAATATGCGACTCGAGTCTGACTCGAGTCAAGTCATGTGACTCGAGTCCCCCACCTCTGGTATTTAGAGACACATTTCATTTTCCTAGAACAAAACATCAACATCTCTTCAGTTTGTGTTATTATGCCTAATTTCAGGCATCTAACCAAAAACATGTTTAAAAAAAAAGGATGACTTCAAACAACAAAACCGGAAGTGGTTAAATGCTTTTCAGGGTTTTAGGACTCATTCCTGCACCACTCCATGGCCCTGTTCTTCCTCAACACATTTACAATTGTTCTTCATCCTATCTTATTCCACTTTTTAAAAAAACATTTTTTTGTAGGGGACGGGTGGCGCAGTGGTCTGTGCATCTGATCATCAGATCAAGGGTGCTGGGGAACTCCAGTTCGAAACCCGCTCCTGCCGCCACTGCGTCAGGCCGTTGTGTCCTTGGGCAAGACACTTCACCCGGATTTTCTCCTGTGGGTATTGTCCACAGTACATGTATGATATCAATGTGTACCTGTAAAAGCGCCTCGATGACTTCGAGGCGTGAAGATGGACGGTGTGGCGCAGTGCGCTGTGCAATGATCATCAGATTAAAGGGTGAAACCCGCCGCTGCTGCGTCTGTTAAGCCGTTGTGTCCTTGGGCAAGACACTTCACCTGAACTTGCTCCTGTGGGTATTGTCCACAGTGACCATTGCATGTATAAAAAATATGTGTAATGTGTATTTGTAAAGCGCTTTGAGCATCTGGAAAAGCGCTATAATAAATGTAAGGAATTATTATTATTATTATTTTTCATTCCATCTCCCCACTCCTCCGTCCTCTTCATCTTACCTCTGTGTACTCTTTGTATCCTTTATTGGCTTCTGCTAGACTCTCCTTGGCCTCCTTGCTGCTCACAGAGGTGGTGTAAGCCTTCACCATCTTGTTCGCTCCGTCTCTGAGTCTCCTCTGCAGGCAGTACGCTTCGTAGAGCTCCTCGATCTGCGGAGAGGAAACACAGTTCATCTCCAATCCAAAGTAGACATAAGCCTCATGACAGTGTCATGTGGCCAAAAAAACTGTATTTTCACAAAAGGAGAAAAGATCTATTGCACCATATTTAAATATGTGCTAATTTCTGCAAACATTACATTCAAAGTTTAAAATAAAATTCACATTTAATTTAGGTTGGTCATAAAAGGTGTTAGCACTCGCAAATAACCTAAAATCCTTGATGCGTGAAAAAAATATGAAAAGTCTCCTATTATACTATTTTTAGGCATATATTATAGGTCTCGAATATATACAAATATATAAAACACATACCAAACAGTTCACCCATTCTAGCCATGCCTCATCCCCCTCTATTTCAGCCCTGTTAGAAAAGTGCTGATTCTCAGTCCGTAGCTTTAAAAAAAAAAAAAAAGATGGGGGGAGCGAATGCAGGAGAATTCTACCGGCAGATACTCAGCTAAATGCTGCCGTGATTAAACGCCATATCATAGCCAGAGGAATTTCATTTGAAACTTTTCAATTGAAGGTAAAACTGATCACATGACGTATCTGGGCATCAAGGCTACTAATCTGTATAGAAAGTTATTTGAGGAAAATGTTACCCCCCTTCTTGAAAGAAAGAAGGGGGGTAACAGAGTGTGGGAGAAAAGGGAACACAGGCATTTTAGCCTTTGCAGACCATTTACGTGCACTAAAACCTATATAACACACTACAGGAAAGGGTCAACTCCAAAAAGCTATATATTTATTTATATAGTACCTATATATAGGAATTTGGAACGACCAGTAGCGACACATCTGAGTATCTTAGGTTGCAGAAGGGACATAGAACAGTAAGAGGTCTGACAAATAACTCAGGGAGAGGCCTAGTTACAGGGCTTTGTAACTAATACAAAAATCCTAAGATTTGCAGCTACTTGAGCAGGTCTCCCTTGAAAAAGAGATCGATGATCTCAATGGGATTCACCTGATTAAATAAAGGTTTGAAATTAAATTGGTTCTAAAAGCAACAGGTTGCCAGTGTGAGGAAGCCAGAATCTCTGTGATGTCGTCATATTTCCTAGTCTGAGTTAAAATCCTAACAGCAGAGTGTTGGACCGGCTGGAGGTGGGGATGAAATTATGGATTACAGTTTAGAAAATATGACTGCAATACTGGGTTTTGGACAGAGAACCAAGACTGTTTGTTATGTTGGTGACTGAACTATCATCAAGATTTTCAGAGATGGGGCAATCTCCCATTATCGCTAATTGGACGCATTAATGTAGTGAAAATGAACATCTTACCTAAATTATTATATTTGTTTCAATGTATTCCAACTTGTATACCAACAAAGTATTTTAATACTCTGGACCAGCGGTTTTCAAAGTGTGAGGCTCGCCTCCCAGGGGGGGCGCCAGAGAGCTTCAGGGGAGGCGTAGCGTGAGAAAAAAATAATGAGAAACAGTGAAATCTAGCTTGTTAACTTCAGCTAACTTTATGCGAGCGGCAACATGGATTGATTTTTAGTGAAGTTACCTAAAGTGAGAGAGGAGACAGCGTCTGGCAGAAAACATCACTTGCATACTTTTGGCTGTCTGTGGAGACCGAGTTCCCCCACCTTGCCAAAAAGGCTGTAAAAGTGCTCATTCCCTTCACCTCCGCCTACCTGTGTGAGTGCGAGTTTTCCGCATTGACTTTGATCAAAAGCAAATACAAGGTCAAGCAGGGGCGGATCTACCGGTAATAATAATAACCAGTAATAATCCACCGCGAGCTTGGAAATGTGATTGTCGGCGATTTGATTTGAACGGGACGGCGGCGGCACAAAACGAGAAGCATTCGGACTCAAGTAGACGGAAGGAATGAGGTATTTGCGGTCTACAATGACAGAGAAGAGACTGTCAAGTTTGGCTGTACTCAGCATTGAATCAAAACGCACTAAAGCTTTAGATCTTAATACGTTTATGAGGCGTTTTGCTGAACAAGATGGTAATCGCCGCATTCAGCTGTAATAGGCATGCCAACTTGATGCTCTGCTCACGGATGACTCGATGAGCATAACAAACTGTTAAGATGATGACCTTACGTGTGTAAATATATTGTTTTCTTTGTGGGGGTCTGCCCCCAAAAAACAGTTTTAAGTCCTGAGAAAGTCAAATAAGACGTTGTGTAAAACTGCACTGCCCAGCCAAAAAAAAGTAACCACTTTCATTTAACTAGGCCAGTAGGTGGTAAGGGCATTTCACTGGATAATAATACCCCTGCATTATAGCAACAACAACAATAATAATAATAGCAATAATAATTGGGAGGGGGGGGGGCGCGGCTGTTCTTATGTTCTCTGAGGGGAGCAAGGGCGCCGGAAGCGGGGGGGCCAGGTGGCCATTGGCCCCCCCACTTTTCAGCCCTGCCCCACATTTTCACAGCAGCAGAATTATTTATTATAATATTTTTTTTTCCAGTCTTTATTTTTAACAGATTAAAAAATAACAAATAAAAAATAACAAATGTGAAAAACAGAATACCGTATTGTTATAATACAGTATTTATCCACATTCATGGTAATATTTGTATATTCAACAAAAAAAGTCTTCATATTAATAATAATAATAATAATAAATCATATGTGCCCGAAAGGGAGTAGGAGGAAGCAAATGCTTATTAATTCCCACCCCTTACTTGATCAATGATTGTCCTTTAAATCATTATGCAAGTTATTCCTACTTAGATTTACATTTATACATATACAATAATTTCTTGTCTTCAATCACCTTTCTTCATTCTCATATTTTTCCAAAAAAGTGTTTCTGTACATCCTTTTAAACTGAATTATGCTTGTGCTTTGTTTGAACTCCTGCTCCAAACCATTCCATAAAATCACCCCACAGATTGTTAAACTCATACTTCTCAGAGTTGTTCTGACCTTGAGTTGTTTCAAATGTAGATTTCCTCTCAAATGATACCCACCCTCTCTGTCTACGAACAATGTTTTTAATTTCCTAGGAAGTAGATTATGTCTTGCTCTGTACATGATTTGTGCCGTTTTAAATTTAACCAGATCAGTGAACTTCAATATGTGTGACTTCAAAAATAATACATTAGTGTGTTCAAGATATCCAACATTATTGATAACTCTTATAGCCCTTTTCTGTAATGTGCATAACGGCTGTAGGTTGGTTTTGCACGCGTTTCCCCAAATCTCCACACAGTAAATCAGACATGGCAATATTAGTGTGTTATATAGAGTATACAATGAGTTATAGTCCAGAATGTATCTGGCTTTTCCCAATATTGCGATAGTTTTAGCCAGTTTTGCTTTTACATGAGTGATATGAGGTTTCCAGCTGATTTTGTGGTCTAAAACCACACCAAGGAACTTCATTTCATATACTCTTTCTATGTTTATGTTATCTAGTATTAAGTGTATCTGTGGATTTGTTTTATGTTTTCCAAATAACATAATCTTTGTTTTGCTTATATTTAATGATAATTTGTTTGTGTCAAACCAATGTTTTACTTTAATCATTTCTGCTGTTATCACTTCCATTATCTCTTTCAAATTGTCACCGGAACAAAACATATTAGTGTCATCTGCAAATAAAATACATTTCAATATATTTGATACTCTGCAAATGTCGTTGATGTATATTATGAACAGCTTTGGACCCAACACGGACCCCTGAGGTACTCCACAAGTTATGTTCATGTATTCTGATTTATGTTCACTAATTTCAACAAATTGTTGTCTGTTGCTTAAATAATCTCTCACCCAGTTTAATCCCACCCCTCTGATGCCATACCGTTCCAGTTTTGTCAGTAAAATATTGTGATCTATGGTGTCAAATTCTTTTTGTAAGTCTATAAATATTCCCACTGCTTGTTTTTTATTGTCCATGCAGTTTGCTATTTCCTCACTTAATTCCATTAGTGCCATAGATGTTGATCTGTCTTTCCTGAATCCATATTGACTGTCGTCCAAAAGCTGATGTGTTTCCATGAAACTGTGCCGCGGAAAACTGTACAAATCCCGTTTCAATATTTCCCCTCTACTCTAAAGTCGCATCTAAAACGTGATCTGATCTAGCTGTGTATATTTTGTTATTTTTGATTGTTATATTCAATCTCACTAGCTACAGGCATGTTTGAAGCTTGTAAAGGGAAGATGACAGCTCTCACCACTCTGCTGTTCCTCAGCGCCGCCCCCCTCCCTCCCGCTGAAATTATGAATGTAAGGTGTAATCATAGATAACACGGCAGGGTCCGTTACAGTTTGTTTTGATCTGATTTCAAATAAGCAAAGTCTTGGCTTTCAGAATATTAAACTTGTTTCGGCAAATTCAGATGATAAATACAACTTTGAAGCTTCGGCATAATTACAAGCGGAGAACGGAGTCGCTTAACGTCACAGCAGGCATAACAACAGCCGGTGTTTCTCGTGAGTACAGTAATCCAAACGAAAATATCTTCCCTCCGTAGTATTTTGATCATTTGCTCCGCTAATAATCAATCATGATGATTGATGATGAGAAATGATGGATTCCAGAGAAGAGAAAACTTTAAAGGCCTTTTTCTCAAAATGATGACTCTGTAACAGTCATTATATAATGTGACATATTTTGCTTAATATTTGGAGTACAAAAACAATCCTGATATCATTAGAAAGCTAGAAATCAAAATGTGTCTTCGGGTCAATGCGACTGATTTCGATGGAGCAGGTCACTTTGCATTAGGTAAAATAAAGCAGGCAGACATGCAGTAACAGGAAGAATATGTACATTTTAACCCAATCAAATAGGACATTGTCACACCATTCAAATGTATCCATGTAAATTACAACCAATAAAAAAGCTTAGATTTGTTTATTTGTTACGTTGTTTACTTCATTTGTTACGTTGTTCTGTGTGTGTCAGCCGTTAACCAAGAAATAATATATACACTTGCAAACATGTCAGAAGAACCAGCGCAGAAGAAAACTAAATACAGTCAATCTAAACTTAAATGTAACAACTGGAAGGTCACATCCCTGACATCCACATCTCCGGAGCCTGGACCTTCATCAATCAGAGAAACAGCGAAGCCAGATGAACCCAAAAGCAGCACCTCTGCGGCCGCAGAAACTGTCAAAACCGCCGCCGCCCCCACCGCCGTTGTTGAACCGAAACAGGCTGGTTCCGACTGCATGGAGGTTCCATCTGACAGGAGGGAGCCTCATGTGTCACTCCACGGAGTTCACTCCGTCACGGAGGGGGAGTGTGTAGGTGTAGGGCGTGGTTTGGGATTGGGCCATACACACGCACTTTTTTTGCCCCCCCCCACTTCTAAAATGAATCCGGCGCGCCTGGAGGGGAGGCTCACCTTCCTACACTTTGAAAACCCCTGCTCTGGACAAATATATTTCTGCATTTATTTGGAAAGAAAATTATCTAGGATTCGTGAAGATTTCCTTCAAAGAACAAAACAATCAGGAGGGCTAGCCCTACCCAATTTCCAATTCTATTATCGGGCGGTGAAAGTACGGAATATGCTCTATTGGCTAAGTGCTCCTTCTATAGAGACACCAGCTTGGATTCTTATTGAATCGGCCTACTGCGGTAAAACTTAATTGCGGGCTTTGCTTGGATCAGCTCTTCCATTGGAATTGTATACCTACAACAGTAATCAGTTAGTATATAATTCTCTTTTGGGTACAGTGTAGGAAACGGTTTGGATTACATATCATGTCTATACGATCACCGATTTATTCTAACCATATGTTCCATCTGTGATGGATTCTGCTTTTAAGATCTGGAATAATGGGGAAATACGTAGTTTTGAAGATCTGTATATAAACAAGGTATTTGCCTCATTTAGTCAGTTGACAGACACATTTTGTATTCCACCCGGCCATCTTTTCAGATATTTCCAAATTCGAAATTTCACACGTAGCAAATACCCGCAGTTTCCAAATAAACCAACAGAAACAACCTTAGATAGGATTCTTCAAATAAATGTGCAGAATAGAGGAGTAATTATAAGTGTTGTATAATGTACTTTCCTCCCTGCATTCTCCCTCTCTTTCGACAATCAGATCTCAGTGGGATGATGATTTAGCATTTGAAATAACAGATGATAATTGGCAATCCATCCTTCAAAGAGTTCACTCTTCCTCAATTTGTGCCAGACATGGCCAATACCTTCATTTATCAAAGGAAAAGCTATCAAAGATGTATCCAGGGGTAAATCCCTTATGCAACAGATATAAGTCAGTAACAGGGTCCCTCATTCATACTTTCTGAACATGTCCAAATCTTCATAATTATTGGACATCTATATTTGATATGTTTTCTGAGATTTTTAAAGTAAAATGTACCCCTACTCCTCTTACTGCAATTTTTGGACTCGTCCCGGACGACATTGTCCTTTCCAGACATTATTCAAACGCTGTTGCTTTTGCTTCCCTAATTGCTAGGCGACTTATACTTATGAGGTGGAAGCAGGAGGCGTCTCCCACTCATGTCCATTGGGTGACAGAACTTATGAAGTTTCTACACATGGAGAAAATAAAGTGTACTTTGGGTGGCTCCATTTATAAATTATATAGGACATGGCAACCATTTTTAACGTACATGGAAAGTTTGAAACTGCCTACTCTTCCTGATTCTTTATTTTTTATTTTTTACATTTAATAAAAAACTGAATTTAGAAAACAGATTTTCTATAATCAACCATGACTAACATGTATTTTTTGGGGGGGTTAACACAAAATGGACAACCTGCACCTTTTTTTTTGTCACTGAAACTGTATGTGTTGTTTAAGAAAAAGGAAAATAAAGTTTATAAAAAATAAAACGCCATACAGTATGTTCCAAACCAGATCAAGGATTATTTCTGAATCAGTATGGAGCTCAAATGCTTTTTCTCTTGCAGGTTTACCACGAGGTGAGTTCCTTTTTATATCCTGCTTTTTTACACATACTCTCTCCAGTACAGGTTAGCCCTGAGTGTTAGCGATTATTGCTCATTTAATTTAATTTCAAACCTTTATTTAACGAGATTGGTCCCATTGAGATCATAGATCTCTTTTTCAAGGGAGACCTGCAGCATATAGGTTCCACATGAAACATAAAACAATAAAGGACATCATACATTATATTTACAGGATACATTTACATAGTTATAGACATTTACAAGTGCCCATAAAATGTAAACAAAGACCAGATTATTTACAAAACACGTAGCGCATTGTTTCTGATAGGGCCGTGGGTTTAAAGCCAGCACACATTTCCGATATTACGTCATATCGGCAGCAAATCTGGATCAGCTCCGTTGTACCCCAGTTTTTAGAGATTTGGGTAAGGAGGAAAAGAGAGAGGGTTTTGTTTTCTGACACTTTGTGAGTTCCCTGACACACCGGGGACACATATTTATGTATAAAAGACATTAATGCAAATTAATCACATTTCCATGTTTTTGTCGATATTTTAAGTGTCGGAAAATTGTCAGACTTCATGCCAACAATACAGAAATCATGTTATAATAAAGTTAAAACCGTCTAATTTGTCTTTCCAGTGTGTCATGCATGTCTTTATGACAACACCACACATGTTTTTGTCGCATCCCCTCCAAAAATACGTAAGTAAGTAAATACTAGTTTTAAACGTACTACTTTAATTCAATAATTTATCCAACATACATGTGTATTTTAACCACTACTACACCCAACACTCATTGCACACTGCAATATAAAACACAATATATTTCATTTCGACCTCTGCAGGATGCTTAATGTTGACTGAAAACTGACCAATACAATTGTTGCTAGTCAGTAGGGCTGTCCCAAATACCATTTTTCGGGCTCCGGATATTCGGTAGTAATCAGCGTGGGGGGGTGCGTAGTAATCAGCAGTGAACCGCTTCAACACGTGTATTTCGGTTTATTCACGGCATTCATTTTGTTATTCTACACTACAGTATTGTTGTTTTATAGTATACAACCCAATTTGTGTTCTTTGCAATTGAAAAGGATTTTTGTGTGTGTTACTTTCGTTGCAGTTGTATACGTCTTAAGTGTAATTTGGCTTGGCTTCCTATTTTGTATGGACATCATGCTTTTATTTTGAAGGAGAGGTAGCGCTCTTGACAGGAAGTTGTTGTTGCTATGGAAACAACATGACGGAGATTAACGGAGAAAAAGTAATAGTGATGGGCATTTTGATTCCCTTCGGGGACACGAATCTTTTGATTCAGTTCACTTTAAAGATTCGTTCACTGATTCGTTCACTGATTCGTTCACCAGTTCGCGAACGACTTCTGGTGATTTGCACGTTCGCGAACGATTCGTCTTTGTACTTAATTCTTTCAGTAAGTCTTCACTACTGCCGAAGTCCGTACAAGAAGTTTGCTGGCGTAAAAAGTATGATATTAAAACACATTTTACACCTCACCTTGTTGCCCCATGAATTATGCTCTGGGAATAGGCTACATATTATTCAAGAAATATAATTGGCCATTGTTAAATCTCATAAATTTGTGCATGACTATACGATGTATTACAGCAGGCTAGTACGTTATACTTTCAAACCCATGCACGTACTATGTGGCCTAACTTAAATCTCAAAGCATTAAACTCCATTTGGCCGAGTTCAAAGTGAATCAAAAAATATATCCTCTATATCGGTGACGATTTATTCATATTCTATGTACCCATCTATGTTTACCTTTAGCTAGCGGCTAAGCTAGTGGGACGCTACGGAGCCCAGCTATCTGCCCTCTGAAGCTTTTAGGGCCGACAGGGGGAGGAGAATGTCTCGCTAACGCTGTGTGTGTGAACTGTAGGAACTAGGAAGCAGTTCTGAACTGTTTCCGCCAGTTCTTCAAGTTCGTCGTTCGCAAACAGCTTTTCTTTAGCTTTTGGCAGAGACTCAAACAAACGAATCGTTTTGTGGGAGGAATCAGTTCATCTTGTTCATTTCAAAGATTCGTTCAAAAAGAACGAATCGTTCGCGAACGACCCATCACTAAAAAGTAATATCTACATATAAAGACGGATAAAGTAAACAATAACGTTTATGGTTAAGTGTTAGCACCCCCCGAAGAGGCACAAGCTCTTATGTTGATATTGGAGTTTTCAATAAATTCAAAAAAACAAACAAAATGAATATCCGAATAACGAAATTGAAACCCGAATAGTACTCCCTCGAACGAATATTCGGATATTCGGGTACAGCCCTACTAGTCAGAACTCTACTTAAGCTGCCACATGCACTGGTTATTTATGTTTGGTTTCAGAACAGAAAGGTAGGACATCTCCAACACTTGATATCTAAATATGACCATTTAGTCAGTCAGTGTCCACAAATATCAACCAGTATCTTCAGCAAAAGCTCTTTAGTCCAGGACTGATGCTATGTACTATAATGTTGTTACTGTTTAACCTGCCTCTGCAGATAAAGTAACCCAACAACAGATACAGTCATCCCACAACACAATCAAATGTCAGGGTGCATTAATGTGAAGACAGAAACACCTTCTAAACGTAACCAGACTGTAGAAAACAATAGTTGTTTTGGAACATTCCACATCACCCCCATTATCGTATCATTAATGGACTCATCCAAACGGCACCTGGTCGGTATGGCAGAAACATTCCTATCAATCCGCAGTGAAGCGACTACAGACTGGCATGTTTTGTGTGTTGTGGATATACAGTATGTACCAGCATTTTTAAATTTCATATACCGCTGATAAACAACAACGTTTTGCAGTTATAGGGATCAGACTGTGGACTGCCATACTTTAATATGAGTCAACTACACCTTCTAACAGAGGACAGGAACATCTAGATGCAGCACAACAGTATTCACATACACAGTGTCCCTTATACAGTTGTGTAACTTTTTCAAAATGTTCTTTCAAGTTTATTTTTCTTTAACATTAACTGCTGTCGCGAGGTATTAACTGAGATCATGGTGGTCTTACCTTGCTGAGGTGGAACTCCAGTCGTCTGATATACCGTTCTGTCACCTTCACTTGCTGTCAGAGGGAGGCACAGAGTCATTTTTATATCCAATTGGTCAACAAAGACTGGACTTTTTCCTTTTCTAAATAAAGGCTTAGGTCAGCGCTACAAAAAAAAGGCATATGCATACTAACATTTCCACAGCACACACAACGCAATCACACATATTTGATTTAAAGCCTGGAAGGAAGGGGCTTTGAGTGGTTTGAACGATTTTTATTGTGCAACATAATGAATGTAAAGCGTGCAAAAAAATCCCGGAGACGTAAAAGTGACTGTACATAATTTGCGAGAAGCGAAAGTGAGATGGATCTGTTGTACTGATGGAATTAATACTGCCGACATTTAAATTACACTGAATTATCAATGCAGAAGGGAAACACGGAGAAAGTATTGTTGAGTCTGCATTAATAGCGTCTCACTTAAATAGAGAGTAGCTCACCTTGTCCAGCTCATACAGGAAACCCTGAAAGAGAGAAACATTTGTTATTAAGTCGCAGCACAATATGATGTACACTCTTTATGTTAAGTAATATTTTACTATTTCAGAACATTTTCATTTTTACAACCTGAGTTACCTTCAAGATGTAAATGTTTTGTTGTGCCAGCAGCTAATTTTGATATTTTTCTCAACTTTAAAAAGAGACCTTTTCAAAACCTCTGCCTGCAATATGCCACAAAACTCAAGTGCTTCATGTCCACATAAAACATAAGAAAATGGTCATAGAATTAAACCGGTAAAGGAGCGTTTTCCTTTTCACCGGTAGTGGCGAGCCAACAGAACGTACCAGTCTGGAGTTCCTCTTTGATTCTTTCATCTGTCGGCTGAGGCTGTCCGAGTCCATCTGATGGACCTGTAGGTAAGAGCTGAGGGAGAAACACTGGTTTAACATATACACATCACATCACTAATGAATTCTCATAAAAAAATATTTGTAAAGCTTGTTTCAGGTCAGAACATAAAAGCACACATTCACTATCAGGGTTTAAGCTTTTAAGAGTTTTGTAGAATTGAACCCAAATTGCTGAAAAAAACGTTTTAACGTAGATAAGGATACATTAACACATGTTATTACATGACTTAGGTGAATATTGATTCTGATTGGTCAATTTGCACATTCAGTAGCCCGCTCCTCTTGGATAGCAAACCGCTGCTAATGAAGCTCTTATCAAGGGAGTATGTGTTATCATTAGGGCTGTCAAACGATTAAAAATGTTAATCAGATTAATCACAGCTTAAAAATTAATTAATCATGATTAATCACCATTCGAACTATGTCCAAAATATGCCATTTATTTATGCATATTGTTGTGGGAATGGAAAGATACATGAAAGAAGGCGGATATATCCATTTAACATACAGTATCTATGTTTATTATAACGTTTTTCTGCGTGTCAAAATGAAAGACAGCCCACACACCTATCAATCATCAAACCGTGGGGTCTTAATTAATTACTTGTTGATTTCTATCAACGGGGGAGTACTTCAGGAAAGTCGACGGGGGGGGCGGCTAATGGAGTACTTCGTGACCACAGAGTGTGAACGTTGTGATCAGCTGTTTTAGCGCAGTTCTCCATTTTAGGGATGGGGGGGTAGTCTCCCTCAGTAGCCGGTTGGCGTAGTTTTGGCACAATTCCGTTGTACAGACCGACGTTAACAGCAGCCCTGTCTGTGCACACGGAGACCGACTCTGTCGTCCGGTGATCTAACCGCCTTCTGGAAAAGCTTCACAAGTAGCCTACGTCGGTACGCAAATGCGCTTTGTGACACAAGTGACGGTACGCATTTCAGAGAGATTACGCACATAACCTGCGTACCAGTTATGTGCACCCCTGTACTACAGCAAAAGTATTCTCCGTCGGGACTTCCTGCAACAACACCACGCCGTTATCAAAGATGTTCTATTGAGAGGACGATCACTACGTGACAAAAGTTTTCAAAACCGTGGCTACTGAAATCAATCTTACTAACTGCTGTCTGTGCAATTTACTCCGCGCGAGTTGGCAGACTTTATTTTTGCTTCATTTAACATCATTTAACATCATTTTTCATGGTGGGGCTAAGCCATTTCTTGGTATGGGTGTATACCGCAGCCATACCCTGGCGCTGCCACTGGTGGCACGTATGGGGCGGGCCATTCTGCACATGCGTTAAATGCGTTAAATATTTTAACGCAATTAATTCAAAAAATTAATTACCGCCGTTAACGCGATAATTTTGACAGCACTAGTTATCATATAAATCCGCACAAAGTAGTCTGGTCAACTTAACATCAGCTCTGTCCACAAAAACAGACCTATAGCTTTCAGTTTATTTTCAGAAAACACCCCAAATACTTTGTGGAGATCATAACACTTTGGATTCAAGCCAAAACAGCGCAAGAGAAGAAAAGAGGTTAAAAAGTAGCAATAAGCAGGATCGTGTGTGTGTGTGTGTGTGTGTGTGTGTGTGTGTGTGTGTGGTGTGTGTGTGTGTGTGTGTGTGTGTGTGTGTGTGTGTGTGTGTGTGTGTGTGTGGTGTGTGTGTGTGTGTGTGTGTGTGTGTACACACTCACTGAAGGCCTTTTTTCAGCACCTCATAGACCTGATCAAGTCTCTCTGGTTGGGGGACTTTGGGTGGAGGGTTGGACTTGGTGGACATGGTGAACATCCTGCTGGCTCTGCTGGGCTTCCTGCTAACGCCTGGAGTGCTGAACACTGAGAGGCTCCTGCAAATCAGAAACACCAACATCAGACATATGACATTCTCAGCATCACATCACACTGACACCATCAGAACGCTGATCCTGTGCCACAACACATATTCAAGTTGTTCTATGTGTTGCTGGAGTTCTGAGCTCTTCAGACCTTTTCCCTTCTTCTGCACCTTGGAAGTAGCTGAAGTAGCATGTAAAGGGACGTTCTGTCCCCAGTGCAAATTGTTCATGTCTTAATGATATATTTTTCAAAGTATTCTGTTTTGATAAGCAGCTTTGTTTTGTTAAGACATTTAATATAATATGGTAGTGTATCACCTTTTGTCATTAGATCAACTAATGCCTTTGTTATTACACTCAATTGATCTTAATAAAAAAGTGAAATTTTTAACACTGGGACCAGTTTTTATTAATTAAACACTGACGAAGTATTTTAAAGCTACGATAGATATAACCCTATGTTGGTAAATCATTATGTAAAGGAGAACGTTTCACGATATATACATTATAAAGTTAAATGATACATTTTTAAACCGAGAAACATGTTTGAGTGTGTGTACCTGTAAGGCTTGTCGTTGGTGTTGACTCCAGTGAAGCTCTGGCTCCTAGTGATGGATCTGGAGGTGAGGCGTCTGGCGGGGCGAACAGAGAGCGACATGGTGGAGAGAGCTCGGGACGGACCCCCTAAACAGAGCAGAGAAGAAGAGCCATCAACACATGCACTGCTGACACACAGCATGACCCCACAGTCATAGAGCAACTAGAGCAGTGGGTTGCGAGCCAAAAGTGGGTCGCAGACCCGTTTGGAGTGGGTCGCGGATGTGTGAGTGAAGAAAAAAAAATAGAATTTTTTTTTTAATTGAATTGAATTTTTTTTTTTTGTGGGAAAAACTCAAACTTTTATTTTGAAGGCCCGATTTTCTAACTCTGTGCATGCAGTCGGCGTTGGACTGGAAGTACCGGAGACCATAAACGGTTTTGAAAACTTCTGTCACGTAGTGATCATCTTCTCAATAAAATATCTTTGCTGATGTTTTTTCGAGTCTTCTGGCCAATCAGAATCAAGATTGTTGCCGGAAGTCCCCACGGAGAATAACTTTGCGGTAGAACTCTTCTTTATACATCCATGAGTACAACTTCAGATACAAAAGAACACATAATCAAATATGACCCCGGTTTGATGATTGACAGGTCACAGAACAATGGGGGCTATCTACCCTTACCCACAATTTAAAGTAAGTCACACAGACTCTCTCCTCTTTGCTCTTCTCGCAGCAAGATGTCAGAACAAAGTGAAAAACAAACAATGGCATCAAATATCATTAATATGTCGGGTAGTAATAGATTTATTTATTTTCTTCTCAGTGTACCAGAATGCATAGTTTATGTTAGTATTTCTAAAAATGTCCTGGGGGAGAATCCCCCCAGACCCCCCTGCTGGGGTTGGGTTTTCAGCACGTGTGCCTTTTTATATAGTTCAGCTTTGATTCCATCATCTCATTAAACCTTTTTTAAAAGCATACTTTAGTTCTGTGAAGGGATATAAGGGATATATGCACTGTACTTCACTTTTATTAATATTGTATGCTGAAAAGGTATATATTACAGCACGTTTTTTTGTTGAATAGATTTGAGTGCTTCAAAATGTTGGGTCGCGATGTATTGACCAAGTAAAAAGTGGGTCCCGAGGCCTGACCAGTTGAGAACCACTGAACTAGAGAAAACTGAGTCAAATGGAAACTGAAACGAAAACAAACTTGACCAGGAGAGTATTGTTGCTGCCAGTAGCCCCGCTGGCTAGCCCCTGTCAGAGAAGAGCTCTTTGAAACCCTATTAGACCTTAACCTCTCTAACACGATCAGGTCACATGAGTTTCAGGACTCCCTGATAATCATATCATATCAATAATTTGAAGTAAAAAAGTGTATAATCCTCAACCAAGAACTCTAGCATTAAACAGTGCAAGGTGATTCTAACGTCAATGCTTTTAACTACAGTAATGCCTGCCCAGTGTCTACAGACAAATACTTGCCATTTGGCTAACTGACATATTATGTTCCAAACCACATCAAGCATTATTTCTGAAACAGTATGGAGCTCAAACGCTTTCTCTCTTGCGGGTTTACCACAAGGTGAGTACCTTTTTATATCCGGCTTCTTACACATACTCTCTCCAGTACAGGTTAGCTCTGAGTGTCAGCGAAGCTTGCTAAAGTAAACAAAGACCATATTACGTCCAAAACACGTCACACATTGTTTCTGATAGCGACGTTTATGACGAAATATTGGAAATGTGGGCATAAAGCCAGCCCACATTTCTGATGTTACGTCATATCGGCAGCAAATCTGGATCAGCTCCATTGTTCCCCCGTTTTTAGAGATTTGGGTAAAGAAAAGAGAAAAAAGGAAATGAGAGAGAGTTTTCTTTTCTGACACTTTGTGAGTCTCCTGACACACCGGGGACACATATTTATGTATAAAACTTTCTGATAGGGGACGATAGATTAGGATGTAGGCGGAACCTTGCCAGGATCTCAACGTAAAGCCATCCCACATTTGAGTAATGTTGTCATGAACGCAGCAAATCTGGATCAGCTCCTTTGTATCCCCGTTTTTTAGATATGTGGTTAAGGAGGGAAAGAAAGAGGGTTGTATTTTCTGACACGGATGTTATGTGACAGTATTTCTGAGAAAAAGTCAGCTGCTGGAGGGACAGAGACAGCGACAGGCAGACCTCACGGCCCAGAAGGCCAGAAAAGAGGAAGAAACATCTAAGCGGGAGGAGCTGGTAAAAATCCTGGAGGCGAATAACCGCCAGATGAAGAGCGAGCGGCCGCTAAGAAGCTGGAGAAGGTGAACAGCAGCCTGCAGCGTCACCTGCAGCGCAGCACAGAGGAGGAGCGTGAGAGGGAGCTCATCCATATGAAGCAGCAGATAGCCACTTTGATGCAACCGGGCGGATCCCGCTCAGCTAGAGAGGCCGCAGTCCTGGCTCTCTAAGAAGAAACTGGCAGAGGAGAAGGAAACTAAAGACAAGGAAGATGCTCTTCTGGCTGAGGAGGAGCGGGTGAAAATGGCCGAGAAGATCTGTCAGGAGAGAGAGCTCGTCAGACAGCAGAACCAGCAGGAGCGCATGAGGAAGAATCAGATCCCGAAGAGAAAGAAAGGGAAGCTTCACGCCCCCCCCCCCCCTGAGGAAACCATGCTGCACAGGGGGAAGCAGAAACCTTGCAGGGAAGCCAACATTTCCAAGACACTGTGCTTCCAGGGGAGAGGGGTGAGGAAATGTAACAGAGGTGATCTTTGGGGCCATAGATCTCGGCCTCCGTTATGAATTGTGTAGTTTTGTTGGTGGCGAAGTGTAGGTAGTGTGTGCATCTGTCTGTGTTTTAGTTTGTCTGTCTCTGTTTGCTGGTTTTATGTTGAAAAGTGTTCCTCCATGTCTGTTGCTGTTGATTGTGTGCACCTGGTGCCCCGTGTTGTCTCCCCCCCCCACCTGTGTCTAATTGCTGATTAGTGTGTGTGTGTATTTAGGCTCTGTTGCCCTGTCTGTTTTGGGGCAGGTAGTGTGTGTGAGATTCTTGTGGCTGGTGACTGTGCTCACAAAAACAGCAAGATTGAGGCTGTGTCCTGGGCTTGAGTTTAATAAATGCCCACACCGGGTTATATTTTTGGACGTTCTGCCTCCTTGCTTGGTCGGCTGCTCAATTGTCAGCTTCACAAAGTGAATCATTTGAGGAGAAATATGAATCAAACTATAAACACATTTCTAACAAATTATTTAATTATGAAAAATAAGAAGTGTACATTTAAAATGTAACAATTACAGATGTTGAATGTCTACTAGGTAAATGTAATGATAAACCACCAGGAGTGGATAATTTAGTTGCAGAGCCTATCTGCCATATTATAAATTTGAGTATTGAAAAATGTACTTGCCCACAGGCACGGAAAATAGCAAACATTATTCCACTTGCAAAAAATCCAGCTGGACCATTTTCTGGTACAAATAGCCGCCCAATAAGTTTGTTACCAGCGTTAGCAAAGATAATGGAGAGAATAATGTGTTGCTTTTGATGTCATTGACCATTCTTTGTTACACAAGCTAGAACAATATGGTTTTAATTTTGATACGCGAGGTGGTTAGAAAGTTACCTGACAAATCAAAGTCAAACCGTTTTTTTTTAATGGAAGTCTGTCAAAGATGAAGACAGTCACTTGCGGAGTACCTCAGGGTAGTTGTTTGGGACCACTTTTATTTTCTATTTTTACAAATGACCTACCATTAGTGTTAGAAAAAGCCAAAATTGTAATGTATGCAGATGACTCGACAATATATTATGCAGCATCGACTATAAGAGAGTTGACAAATGTTATGAATAAAGTTCTACTACTGATATCAGAGTGGGTCAAAAATAATAAGTTGGTACTTAATGCTGGAACAAAAAATCTTTAATAATAGGATCAAATCATCAGTTAAAAGGTGAACCAAAATTGCAACTACATTTAAACCATATTCAAGTTGAACAGGTCAAGGAGACAACATTTCTAGGTATAACCCTGGATCATAAATGATCTTGATCTAAACAAATTGATGTTGTATGTAAAATGGGAAGGGGTGTGTCACTTGTAAAAATAATTGCCAATGGATGTCAGTAGACAAGTTCTGGATGCTTTGGTTCTGTCGCAGCTTGATTATTGTTTGGTTATATGGTCTAGTGCTGCAGAAAAAGACTTAAACAAACTACAAGTGGCACAAAATAAGGCAGCACGATGTGCACTGCAATGCTCCTGCAGAACCAGAGTACCTGAAATGCTGGAGACACTGAAATGGCTAAGTGTCAGACAGAGGTCAACTTATATTTAGTTACATTTTGTCAGAAATATTACAGTGACTCACTCACCACATATATTATCACAAAGGTTTATAGCGCAGTATGCCCAACTATCAAACACGACATACAATAGAAGGAAGGTTTGTATTACCCAAATCTAAATCAAATAAGGGACAGAAAACAGTCATGTACAGAGCCATGGTCAGCTGGAACTCTTTACCCCCATATCATTCAGGAACCTTCTCAAGTACGTTTCAAAAGGTAGCAAAAAAAGTATTTAAGTATTATAAAGTACATTTGAACTGTGCCTGTGGCTATGTATGCAATGCATATATTATTATGTACACTTATTTGTATTTACTTTTTGTTTGGCCTTAGGATGGCGATAATTGGATGACCAATTTTCTTTTAATTCATACAGCACTGCAAATTGCATGAAATTATGAGCCGTTTTGTTTTATTTTAATTTTGTTGTATGTGTGTTTATGTATGTTTTGTGTGTGTGAGGACCCCAGGAAGAATAGCCAATGCTCATGCTAGTGCTAATGGGGATCCTAATAAAGACAATAAAGACAACAACAATAGAGCTGCAGTATGATAGCAGCAGAGATAATTATGATCTGTGTAGCTAACATTATACAGAGGGAGTCACAGCGGCTCAATGTGACAGTGGCTTTGTTGATGCTTTAGCTAAGTGTCAGAAAATGTTTGGACACCATGCCAATAGTTCAGAAATCATCTTATAATAAAAGAAAAAACCGTTGGATTTCTCTAACCAGTTGTCATGCATTTCTTAATTACAACAGCACACGTGTATTTGTTATATTTCCCCAAAATACAAGTAAATAG